ATGTTTCCGTAAAGCCAACAAAACATAAGCATATACAATGTCCTGGTGTTGCAACGTCTTTTTAATAACTTTCCTCCGTACCTTTTCATCGAAGTAAGGAGTAATGCCATTACATTGTTTAGTAAACTCTCGTTGAGGTACATTCACCATTGTCATTGAACATTCACACTTGCTTCTTTACTGAAAAACAAAAACAAACCGAACACTTTATATAATCTTACGATAGCAACACTGACAAGTTTGGTCATACGGTGAGAATGACTTTTCAGTTATGCCCGTTGAGAAAACTTTGGAGGTCGTAGGATAACAGGCTCAAGCGGATTTTTAGATAAGATATACGAATCATTGTAAAGTAGATCCACCGACATTCCGTTAGTCAGCTATCATTAAAAGAGATCCACATAACTTCCGTAAACCAGCTGACATTAAAGGAGATCCACATAACTTCCGTAAGAAAGCTGACATTAAAGTAGATCCATCGACCATTCGTAAGCAAGCTGGCATTAAAGTAGATCTATCGACCTTCCGTTAGCCAGCCAGCTTGCATTAAATGAGATCCACAGAAATTCCGTAAGTCAGCTGACATTAAAGTAGATACACCAACCTTCCTTAAACCCACTGACATTAAAGTGGATCCACCAACCTTCCTTAAGTCAGCTGACATTAAAGTAGATCCACAAAACTCCCGTAAGCAAGCGGACATTAAAGTAGATCCTTTAACCTTCCGTAAGCCTGCTGAATTCTAAGTTCATGTGACTGCCTAGTGTATTCATTTTGAGGACATTTAAAGATTAGTGAATGAAAAATTCAAAACAAAGAAATGAAAATCTTGCCTCTGTCTCCCTTTAAATACCATCGAAAATTAACAATCACAATGCAAAGTTCTGTCATATTTAACTATGCTTACGGACTTTTATATCTAACTTTCTTTATTTCATGTTTAATGAGTAGCGAATCATAAAAGTCATTTAAAAGCCTTAAATATATAATATTACCTAAAGTTAGGAACTTTTATCAAGAGTCCACCAGGTGATTTATCCTGTGTGAATTGTCAGGTGACACTATTTATTACTTCTGATTCAAGAACCCTAGAGGATTAACGGTGATATTTTGCAGAACTGTGTACTATTTTGAAAATATCTTGTCACAAAAAAGGAACTATTATGGCATGACCTACCAAATGCATTACCTCTGCTTCGAAGAATATTCAAATAGGCTATAATTACTGTCAACTGCATTGGCACTTAGGGTTATGGGTTAAAATCCCAGAGAGGCCAGTTTTTTCTCTCTTTTTTCTTTACATTATTTAATATATCTCTTTTTGGTAATAAAATAAAGTGTTAAATTTTAATTTCACGGTTTGGAACTGTTCACTTTGTGAAATAGTGAGTGAGCGACCGGATAGGCCGGATAGCTCAGACGGTAGAGCCGCAGTACGGTATTCCCACGATTCCGGGTTCGAGTCCTGGTCAGGCTGCACATTTTCTCACCCTGCGACATTTATTTACTAAATGTGTAGTAGATGTGGATTATAAGGCCTAAAAAAGGTTTTGTAAGGGTCACCCTACACTACCTTAAATTATGCTCGACCCTAACGTTTTTTATGTCTGTCAAAAAATAAATAAAAGATAGCTCACTTTGTCCAAAATGTTTTTTGAAGAGGAAGAAATGATGTGTTGTCCAATACTGGGTCATTTTTATAGGTTTCTATGATTAGATCAATATTTTACAAGAGCCAATGGACGATTCTCAAAGTTGACAATTTGTGTGACGTTCCAGTAAATCAAATCAAGGCGAAACTTTCTGGTTTCACACATGTCACAATAAGGTATAATCGAATAAAATGAACAAGAAAAACATTGATGAAAAGCATCAAAGGGCGACGCCAAAAGAATTTGATCCAGGTTTGCACCTAAATACTTAACAAAAGATGTGTACTTTATAGCAGTACCATTACATGTGACCTGGACTCTAGGCCCAGTTTCAGTTGAAACTTCAACCAAAAAGAATAGACCAAAAAGAATAGACTCCAACCAATCTTATAAGACACATAAATATAATAAGAAAGATTTTTTTCAGATTTATTTTACCAGACACATTAGGATTCCTGAGTCATCAGCATATAATCACAGGCACAGTATCGGACCTGGGAAGAAAAAATATGACCAAATTAAGAAAACAAACTGTGTTCATAAAAACCAAAAATAAAATGTAAATAATGACCCCCTTTAAAAATGTACTTTATACTTTATAAATTAACTTAAAGTATATTTTTAAAGGGAGTAATTATTTACATTTTATTTTGGTTTTTGACACTTTTAAGATGAACACAGGTTTTTTATCGATCTGGTCATATTTTTCCTTCCCAGAGCTGATACTCGTGCCTGTGCATACAATAAAAGCTTATTGCTTAGGGTTGCAGACATGTCATTGACATGTATTAGATATAAAGGAGGACCTAAAATGAACATTAGGGGGACACCATAGGTACTCAGAGCAGTAGTAGAATGAGTACCAGCCACATCCACCAGCTGCTGTCTATCAGAGATAAGACTTAAATCATGTAAGAATGTCATTAAATATGGCTGATGCTTGAAGTTTCATGAAGAAGAAGAAAAAAAAATTCTTCATGTGCAGTATAGTGTGATCAACTGCATCAAATGTCTTTTGTAGATCTAAAAGTATCATGTAATACTGCCTTTGTCCATTTCAAATTTAATGCAATCTGTTAAATGAATCAAACATGTGTCAGTTGAAAAACACTTCTAAACCCTGACTGAAACTGCCTGACCATGACTTGAAACAATGACTTTCAGAAGACCAACTGAGCTTTCCGGCCTGCTACACATTTTCTCTTTAATAATGAAACAGTTCTAAACCACAACATATTTCCTCACTATATTGATTTGTGTCCTTGAATTTCTGGTGTATACAGAGCATATTGAATTGAACTCATGCTTATATGCAGTCATAGGATGAGAAAAACTTTCAGCTTGAACAGAATTCGAACCTGTGACCCACAGAATAATGTATCGCAGCTGTAGCGATTAAGCTATCTGGCCGCTTACACATTTTCTCCCCTAAATAGTGAACAGTTCTAAACCGTGACAGATACTTTTAGATTTTTAAATTAACAGATAATTAATTATTAATTAATAAATAAGAAAAAAAAACTTTACATACTCATAGTCTTAATTAAAATAACAATTTATATATTATTGTATAATTATTTTTACTAAAAAGGGCTTAAACAGTTATTGGTTGTGCCATTATTTATAACAGGTCAATTTGAAAGTGAACATAACTGTGCTAATACATGAACAATATCTTTTTTGTACAGATAAAAAACTAATCTTGTTTTTATTATAATAAATTTTATGAAGGCTGATTTGTATTTTGCATCAAGGGCACCGGGCGAAAACTTGAAAATGCAACAAACGAACCAGTTTGTGGTAGATTGTATTTTCATGTTTTCATGTTTGCGCCCAGTTACTTTTTGTACTATGTTGGTTTTCATGTGGCACAAATCACCCACTATAAATTTAGTGCACAAATCTATTCAAGGGCAAGTAACAATTTTCTCTATGTAAAGTCTGTTGTCGGGTTGGCTCAGGAGACCTGGAGGTTGAGACCGGTGTCCCTCCATTACAAATAGATAAGATAGAAGCTGTCTTTTTCCAACTATGCACATGTTAGAAAAAAAAATAACTATACAGAATATGATTCTTTGAGACTTTATTAATTATATTGCTTGGTCCAAGTTTAAGGACATTTTCAATCAATACATGTATTATCATTTATAACTTTAAATGAAAGCCTCATCCCTTTAATAATAATGACATAACTGTAACTCTTTAAATTCAGAAATATTATAAGTCTCATCATATCAATATTCTTTTAAGATATACATGTATGCACATAACATAAATAATTCCCAGTTTCTATTAAATAAATATGAAATTCTAACATTAACATGCTTTTGATGACCTTACAACTGGTAAATTTTATACAACAAAAATAGTATTATAAGTAATACCTAAGATAGATAGAAAAGAACAAATAATTTAGTAAACATGAGTTACTTCCCCTTAAAATAGAAAAAAAACATGAAACCCAAAAGAACACCCTTAACAGCAAAATTATGATATGTTGCAGGCTCAGTTTAATTAAGCCATGCAAATTAATGGTAAAGTATTCATAAAAGAATAGATGGCCATGTGACAGCAGTAATTGCAGAAAATCGGATAGCTTTCAACATCCGGATACTGGTACACTTTGTAAAAACAACCATTCTGCGCAACAGATAAACGTAATAAGGATAAAACAATAGGATAATCGTTTACAACAGTTCCATTACCTATCCTTATACTCATTTACAGGTGAACTTTCTTCTTGTAGGAAAATTTTGAAAATATATAAATGAATGAATGAAGGATACGGCATCAATGTAGACCACAACGATATTCGAAATCCGGGTTTTAGTATTGTCAAAAAAAACTAAGGGACAAGCTGTTAAACTTAACCTGCAATTTCGTGAAAATGATATCACAATGCACATGCTTTTACATAAAGTTATTAAATACAAATATAACAACATGTTTCCTTACTTGATTTTTACGCATCAAAATAAAACTGATTAACACAACATGACATTAACTGCTAATAATAACAGCTCCTTCCATAGGCCAAAATAAAAAGCATTCCATAAGAGACGACGCCGCTCACCGGCGTCGCCAATAAAGAGTACTGCATGCAAGTGCCTTTTAAGGCAATCCAACCAATCTTGTCATTTCTTTTTAGTTTGTCGTAGTGACCATAAGGGTTGTCATATCTTAAAGTTTGGAAGATTATAAAAAAGTAAAGATGCAATGCCTGTGTGTCCCATTAAATTGCAATAATCTTTAAAGATAAACATATTAATGAAATCAATTTTCTAAATGGCCTCATATTGGGAATAACAAAAAATAGGACCTTACTTAAAATTACGTAAAATATTCCTACCATTTCAATCACTATATTCAGAAACAACTGTTAGTTAGAAAAGAAATTACTTGTTTAAATGCTAAATGACCAAACATTAAAATTAAGTTTCATCAATCGTATTTTAAGTTTCCATTTTGTTTTCTTTTTTTTCAAAGTCTTGAAGTCATTTCTTCAGTTTATATTAAATATTTGTCCTTGTTTATTCTTTACTTGGTTTCCTTGTTTTGAACTCAAACACCGTCAGACAGAAGTCGTCGTCCTGTATCACATGAAAAGTTTGTGATTTCCGAATATTTTTTTTGAAACGTTTATATTCTGTTCTCGGTTTAATGTCGTTCATCTTTACTGTAACTGACTGAGGCAGATTTTCCAACACGGAAAAAAAATTCTGTAAACTTGCTGCAGACATTTCTATCGTCGACAAATTAACACGTTCAATATTTAGCATGTCAGGTGACAGTAACAATGAACTTTTATCTAGATTGATTTTCCACAACTTAACATCAACTAATGACGGTGTTGATATATTCAATTGTAGCCTCCAAGGTAACATATGCAAGGCTAAATTTGAAAGAGTTGAATGTTGAGACAAATCCAAGTTCAGTCTCTTACAATTATGGTCGTAATGTTTTTTACAGAATAACAAATGCAATGTTAACTCTTTCATTGTTTTTTGACCGGAGATAAAATTGAAAAATGTTTCCAGTATTTTGTGAGAAAAAGAGAAGCAACCAATATCTAAATATTGTAAGTTTTGTACTCGCGCCAAATTTTTACTCAGAGTTTCTTCATCATCTGCCCATTCACCCGAGTCCAAAGTAACGTTCTGAAAAGTAGGAAACAACTTCTCAATACTGAAGTAACCTTTATAGTAAAGTGTCTGTATATGACTGAGATCTTTGCTGGAGAATAAATCTATAATTTCACGTAAACAGCTAAAAGCGTATCTGATACTTTCTATATAAAGTGATTTTATATTGCTTTTATTTTTTTTTAACAAATGTTGTAACTGCTCACTGTGCTCAATGTACCCGACAATGAAGAAATCTTGTAAACATAATTGAATGTTTTCACTTTCAGGTATTTCTTGTAAACACGACATGAACATTTTCTGTATGTTATACAATGGATTATTGTCAATGTCCTTGTAACCTGTCCTAGTTCTAAAGTCGCGTGTTTTCTCGTCTTTATTCATCACAGACATCAAATCATTTAATATTGCACACATCCAGTCAGAATTCATTTTACTTATAAATTCATAAATGTTTGACATATCTAGAATGTCTTGAATGTTTCTACAGTTTTCTAGAACAATTTTCTGAGCGTCTACGTGAAAACTTATAAATATTGCGGCAAAGAATTCCTGAACTGTTTTGTGGGAAAATGACACTTTAGAAATTTCTTTTATCAAAGTCTTAGTCCTACCTTCTGACAAAATTCCTGAGAAAAGGCTTATTTTCATGTCGTCTGCTTTGAGATATGTTTCAGCAACCGATCTGTCAAATACCAGCGTGTTTTCTCTTGTTTCATTAAATAATGTTTGATAAGCTAGTTCTGATAATGATTTAATAAGAGAGTAAAACTTTTTTATAAAGTTGTGATTTCTGAAATATTCTGGGATATCGCAGGCAGAAGCATCAGAAGATGGTTGAATTTCCGGGTGTTTCTTTGCTGTTCTTGATAAAAGAAATTCAATGATTTTGGTGTAAACATCACATTTCGAGTTAACTATGGGAATTCTGTTACACCAAAGACAAGTGATAAACATAAGGAGGAGTGGAATCTTTTGCATGTGCTGAAGGCCACAATCACGTATCACTTTATTTAAGTCCCGTGTTTTACTCGTCAATTTGTAACCATCAGGAACACCCGTCATTTTACTTAAAGCATTTTTCTCAAGTTGCAACGTAGAATCTTCATTAAGTTGAACCAACTCTATTTTCTTGTTTACCTGACTTGTTTTTAGATTTGAAACTCCAAGTTTCCATGGACGCGTAGTCGTTAAGATAACACACTTTTCACGTACGTACCGATGTGGGATTTTTTCATTTCGCCTGGAACAACCATTTTCAGGGTGTGTCCATTCATCAAGACCGTCTAATATAATCAAGCACTTATCTTTACGTAAAATTTCTTCTAGTGATACTGACTTAGGAAGTTGTTCAATAATTTGTTGCTCAATCATTTTGTCTATGCTACAGATATCAGAACAATCTCTTAATAACACCAAAAATAATAACTCAAAGTCAGATAAAGCTTTTAACTCATCATCATTAAAACATTTATAGTTTTTGTCTTTATGATGAGCCTGGCACCACGTGATTGTAAGGTATTTTGACAAAGCAGTTTTTCCAAAGCCTGCGTCTGCTGATAGATATATTTCTTGCTGGTTACCGCTTCCAACCGGAAACAGGTCCCTTAAAGATTTGACTGGCGTTTTCACCTCCATGTCACTTGAAGGAGACTTCTGTTTAATGGCGACTATATCTGGCATTACGTAGAACCCAGCTAGAGGTGTCTCTACTTCTTCAAAAAGCGGCGAGAGAGGTATCGAACTACACTTGTTTCTATAGAATTTAATGAGATCTCTTTGAAGTTCTGAAAATAGAGGAGAGAAATGTTGATCATCATTCAATAACAGATTGTTCTGTAAATATCCAGATCCGTTCTGGGAAAATTGAGTTATGGTTATTACACACAACAATGTAGTATTATTTTTAACTTCCAAATAAATTGGAATGTTTTAATGATTTGGTAGTGTATGTTATACATAAGAAAGATAAGTAAAATATGAGAAGAGATATCTATAACTGTGATACCGATACATGTATATTGTTGACTTTATGATGTTTTTTTACATGAACTTACATAAAGTAATACACAAGCAACACATGGCAGTCTTAATTGTCTGTTTCATAATCCTTAACGAACATCATCGTGAATAATGTATAATGTATCAGTTTTTAAATAGAGAAAATACGAATCCCTATAGAGCATCAAAAACGGCAAATTTGAAAATAGTGCAGGCTTTGTTTGATTCAGTCTTATCGTGGACGTTCCGAACAGATACCGTCCACACCCATTAGCAATGGCTAAAGTAGTTAACAACATTTTACATGATCTGGTAAAATTGCATTCAGAAACATCCGTAGAAAAAAACTTACATAGCCATTTAATTTGATATAGTACAGTAAATTACTTGCAGAGCTCAATAACGTTACGAACTTAAATCATAACATACTTTGCTATTAGCAATATTATTAAAGTCATGTCATATCATATCATCTCGAAATATTGACCACAACCATTTCAATATTCAGCGAATTTTATTCAAATATTACCCGTTTTTGAACATTTACATGCTTACTTTGCAGTATACTTCACCTGCAGTGAATTGTTTTATGTACATGTATATAGTCGCCAGCCCAGTGCTCGATGTGTTCAGTGTAAAAAATAACACTTATATTTGTTTGTGCTATTTGTACCTGACCTTTAACTTCTTCACCATCGCTGACTTTAAGACGATATTTTAAATAATACGAAAATTCAATTCTAAAACGAAAGTAGCAATAAAACCACTTATCAAGCACTGGTTAGGTAGTTTGAAACAAATAGTGGTTTTAGGCCCTATATACAACTCCGTGGTAAATTGTCCTCATCTGTGTCATAAAAACGCTTTTGTATATTGTGAGTTAACAAGATCCAGCTTTGCACCATAAGAGTTTTCCCAGCAATATTTTTGTTTTGAAAGAGTCATTATGTGATTATAAATACAAATGTTTTAAAGATTCCTTTTTTCAACCGGATATATTGTGAAATACTGGTCGAGCACTGGTCGTGTATTTTTTTGCAATGCAAGCATAAATGATGAGTTGGAGCTCAACTTAAGACATAAATTAATTCAGTTTGTAATGGATTTTGATCTTACATTAAACAAATCAATGAGTGGACATATATATATAGTTCATAATTAATAAAATATCTGTTAGTAAGAAAACTTCGAGCCTGTTGATAAAGGAAAACAAGATTGTTGTATAAAGGCCCATCACTACGCCAGTGCAACTTATTCAAAATTAGAAATATTGAAATTTTGAAAAGGAATCTCCCTCGGGAACATTGAAAAAGAAAATAGTTTATTCGGTTTGTTTAGTTTTTTAAGATGAAATTATTTAACACCCTTAATAGTTTCGGCTAATTGTTGATGCAACTAATTTGATTTGCCTTTTTAAATAAGGAAAACCTATTTTTGAAGCATAATATGCCGAACCCTAGATGAAATATTACTATTTATTTGCAAAGATTAACAACTATACATTCTAGATAAAAACGAGTTGTCGTCTGCTTATTTTATTATTTATGCTTGCATTGCGAAATAATACACGACCAGTGATAGACCAGTATATCACAACATATCCGGTTGAAAAAGGAATCTTTTAAACATTTGTATTAAAAAAAACATTATTTCAATAACATGACTTAGAGTTTGTAGCAAAAACCTTATCATTTATTTTCTCCTCTCGTTTTATCAATTCTTATCTGAATTGAAATTGAAAAAAAATAATAAGGAAGTGTTTTTTTATTGCATGCACAGGTGAATGAGCATTGGGCGTCTGACACAAACATAAATCTAGATATGGAACTTAAACAATTTTGACGTGTGTCAACTGTAAAAGTTTATAGACCTGAACTGTAATTTTTCCTCAGGTTATGCCATTTTATCGGTTATTATTATTATCTTATATCATATATTGAAGATTTTTTTGCCATTCCATATACATTAATCTTTCAATGTTTCATAATATTCTTGAATAGGTAACTCCTTGTTTAAGGACAGAGTATTGCTCACATAAAATGGGTGCTTTTAAAGTGAAAGGAAGGCTGTTAAAATTATGGTGGATGATTTGTAACGCTTTTGTGGGCCATGGTGTTGCTGGCGACAGCATGACAAAACGCCAAACGATCCGATGTCGGATTTTCATTGTCGTCCTGTCGCTAACGATAAACGCAAAGTGGCGCGATGCCGGGCGGCGTGTTGTTGCGATGTCAAATTGTCGCTCGGCTCAAATTGAAGGATTAGTCTATAAGTCAAGCGACAGGGCGACATTGCGACAATGTGCGACAAAGCGCCGTTTGGCGTGCATCGCTAGAGACAGGACAACAAGACGACATTGTGACAGCGTGCAGTTTGGTGCGTTTCGCTAGCGCGAGACGACAAATCGAAAAGGTTAAAGCTATATAGGTGTGTTGTCGACAACGCAACGCACAAAGTGTACCAAATCAGCCACCATAATGCAACACGCACAGTGTAATAAATAAGCCATTATAGATAACCTGTTTGATATGCAAAAAATCACGTTCACAATTTCATTTCCAATGACAATGATTAATTTCAAATAACCTTGACGACTTGCAATGCTATAACGTTAAAATCTACTTTTCTTTATTATGCTGCAAAAGTTAAATTTGTCAGGATAATATGCATAAAAATGCTAAAATAATGAGTGAAAAGTATTGTTTTCTGTGGAGTTGTTTTAATATTTCTGCCGGATTTAAATACGTAAAATTTATAGTTTAAAATTTGACAACAACCTGAATAACAATATGTTTTGATAATTTCTCAGTGTAGTTATTAAAGATAATTTTCACAGAAGCCAGACTTAAACAGAATACGGATTTAAGGAACGGATCTCAAATACATTTATGAAATCACTCTGTTTTAAATAAAATGTACTTAATTACAGGAAACACAAGAATATCTGCACATTTCATTAAAAAAAAATTGGGCTAGAACAATCTGACGTGATGATTTGATGACATCATGCATAATAGTATTTCGTTAAGTGCAAAATAAGTAAAATAATTTAAAACCAATACAAGGTATGAAATAAGTAGATAAATGGCTTGTCTTGTATGTGAAATCCAGCTTTTATATTTGCAATGTTGGCTACGCCACTTGTGACAATATTGTGTATGATTGACATTATTCATTTCGATCTTACAAAAAATATTCTCGAAGAATTTAAATATATATAAAGACAATATATCTTATGCTTTAGCAGTACTTTAGTGTTGGAAATTAGTGTTGGAGATTATCCATTGCATTTTCAATGTTTTCCAATTTTAATTAGTTCTGTTAAAGAATATGTCGCAAGGTTTTTCTATTTTAGCTATGTAAACCCCTTAAAGGGGCCAATTAAATTAATATGAGCAAACATGATAAAAGACTACCTACGAATGCTACAGGCAAAGTTTGGTGATCATCTATCAGTAAGTTCTGTTGAAATAGACGTTTAAAGGTATTTCTATTTTTAGGTTAAGCGGCCTCAAAAAGGGGCCAATCAAATTGATATGAGACAAGATAATTTAAGACTACCCAAGAATGCCACAGACAAAGTTTGGTGACCATCCATTACTAAGTTCTGTAAAAGAAGACGTTTAAATGTTTTTCTAATTTTAGACCTATAGACATTTCAAAAGGGCAATTCAAATTAATATGAGCAAACTTGATCAAAAACTACCTCAGAATGCTACAGACACAGTTTTGTGTTTATCTATCAATTACTTCTGTATAAATAGACGTTTAAAGGTATCTTTATTGTTAGCTTTAGCGGCCCCTAAAACAGGCCAATCAAATTGATATGAGCAAACTTCATTTCAGACTACACAAGAATGCTACAGTCAAAGTTTAGTGATCATTCATCAATTAGTTCTGAAGAAGAGGATGTTCAAATATTTTTTCTATCTATTTTTAGCCTTAGAGACCCCTCAAGGGGTCAATCAAATTAATATGAGCAAACATGATAAAAGACTACCTAAGAATGCTTCAGCCAAAGTGTTGTGATAATCTATCAATTAGTTATGTAGAAATAGACGTTGAAAGGTATTTCTATTTTAAGCTTGAGCGGCCCCTAAAAGGGACCAATCGAATAAATATGAGCAAACTTTATATAAGACTACCCAAAAATGCCACAGAAAAAGTTTTGTGATCATCTATCAATTAGTTCTGTACAAGAGGACGTTTAAAACGTTTTCACTATTTTTAGCCATAGAGATCCCTAAAAGGGGCCAATCAAATTAATATGAGCAAACTTGATCAAATACTATCTAGTAATGCTACAACAAGGTTTTGTGATCATCCACCAATAAATTCTGTAGAAAAAGACGTTTGAAGGTTTTGTTTTTTAATTCTCAGCCCTAGATACCCCTTTAAGAGGCCAATCAAATTAATATGAGAAAACTTGATAAAAGACTACCTCAGAATGCTACAGACAAAGTTTTGTGATCATCCATCAATTAGTTCTGTAGAAATACACGTTGAAAGGTTTTTCTATTTTTAGCTTTAGCGGCCCCTAAAAGGGGCAAATCAAATTGATATGAGCAAACTTGATAAAAGACTACCAAATGATGCTACAGACAAAGTTTTGTGATCATCCATCAATTAGTTAAGTACAAGAAGGTGTTGAAAGGTTTTTCTGTTTTTATTCCAAGAGACTCCTCAAGGGGGCCAATCTGTTTAATATGAGCAAACTTGATAAAAGTCTACCCAAGAATGGTACTGACAAAGATTGGTGATCATCCATCAATTAGTTCTTTAGTAG